TTCTTTCTTTTTCTTTCTTTCCTTTCTCTCCCTCTCTCTTTCCCTCCCTTCCTTCTTTATTTCAAGGTCAGTATCTTGATAAAACATAATAACAAAAAACAACAATAAAACAAAATCCAAGTCTGTATTATGTTTGAGCTAAAAGTTTCTAGAACAAATTAGTTTTCTATTCAACAGTTTAGACACATTTTGTTCTGTGTTGTTTGTTGCAATCTCCATGTAAAAGCACCCATTGCATGTCATGCCTAGGTTTCCCATTTGGAAATCCGTCTTTCTTTTCTGCTCTTACCTGCCTTCTGAGTTTTGTTTTGATGCATTTTTAGAAGTAACATTTGCTGTTGTTGCTGAACATATACATAGCAAGGATATACCAAATCAACAACTTCTATATGTACAGCTCAGTTATATCAACTATATACTTTTTAAGCTGTGCAATCATTCTCACCTGCCTGTTACAAATTAATCCTCCAAACTTAAAAAATACCACCAAAAAACAAACAACCCCTCCCCCCCCACACACACACAAAACACCACCACCATCATAACAAATCCCAACATTCCAACTCATTTCCTTCGAGTTGTAACTGACTCCTAGCTGACTCTCCAGCAAGTTTTTGGAGCAAATCATATGGGAGAAGATGGATCATCTTTCTCTCAGGGAGCCACTGGTGGATTCGAACCACCAGATATGTGTCCTTTGGGTCAGCAGCACAACTCCCTACACAGAGCTCATTGCTCTTGTCAAGCTTCCTGTCTAATCTTTCAAGTTGTCAACTTGATCCCATATAAATACAGTGAAACTTGCAAAAGTAGAACAACTGTAAAGTGGAAACCTGTCAGGTAAAGAAAACACAAACATTGTTCACTAAAAGAGTGAGAAAAAGCACTAAGACATAAGCACCCTGTCAAAGGTGGATAACTTGCGGTACCTGGAAAAGCCAGGCATCCTGTCAAGATCCAGCTCTCACCGTTTCACCATAGTTCTTCAAAGGAGCAAAATGCTCAAGGCAGACATTCGTTATTAATTACCTATTGTTTGTAATCCTTCTTTCTTAATCGCTGTGTAATAAGAAGTGGCCAGAGAGGGCCAAAAGTTCAACCCCATACCCAAGGACCCCCTTGTCCAGCCCTAACTCTAGCCCACCCTGAAGTAGCCCAGGATGGTCCCTGTGGTATGGCTAAGTGCTAACAGGCCACAAGCTGGTGGTTCCAGACAGGTACCAGACATGCAGTGACCAAGCACTTTACAGTTTGTGGCAGAGAATGCACTTCTCCCAAGGTCACACAACAGTAAAGGGTTCAGATGAGTCCTCAGTTCCCAGGCCCAACAAGCCAGTTTGAGGTCTCGGATACACATCTGCTGGCCCTGCGCTCTGGGCCCCTTCTCAGCCTATGTCCTGGGCCTGTGTCCTGCAGCGTGGAGGGCTCACTCTTGATAGCAGTGACACTCCTCGGCCAGCCCCTCACAAGCTTATTTTTCTTAATAACTTCACTTTTTTAATTAAAATGAAATCTGTGTTAACAAATTTGAAGTGCCTGAGTTAATGAGAGCAGGCTGCTGCTCGTTTAATTCCACTCTTTGTGGCTCTGGATGGATTTTCTAAATAGTTTCTGTATGCATTTTTATGGCCCCATTGAGGCAAGCTCTGGAACGAGGCCTCAGAAAACTGTGGATAATTTTATGAT